CGTAGTCATGTGACAAAATGAAATATATTGATTTCAAGAAAAAAAATACCATATTTGTTCGAAGCACAACTCCACTAGATCCTGTATATCCTCGCACACCAACATTTACATTTATTGTGTGTTAATTAATTATGGCTTACTTTGACACAAAAAAACTTATAACACAATGAAGTATGTATTTCTCGTGCGTATACAGTGTGCACTGGGCCCCTTTCAATTGATGCATTAAGCACACAAAACATCAACAATTTTACTCAACAACGGCTGGGTTTTGTGATATAAGATTTGGGTAATGTGTTTAATTGTCAAACATTTTGGCACAGCCGTATTAAAAAAGAAGTCATTTAAAAAATGAATAAATAAAGCAATACAAATAGGATTCGAAGCTAGCCCATAACGGCTTTGGAGGCCTTATAATAATAATCGACACAAAAGCAAAATGGCACATGCATTTTCAGTTATGATAATCAATAATAATAAAGTGAAGGCAGCTCTAAACACTCTAGTAAAAAGCGCACCGTGGATCTACTATGGATACAATGTCCTGAAGCTCAATGTAAAAATTTAAATGGGCAGGACACACACGATAGACTAAAAACAAAATAAAAGGGTGAACGCGATGTTTCGAATGGGCAAGCCAATTCTCCTTCAAGTGAATGATTAAAACATGGTATGGTAGTTTGTAAAATATGATACTCCACAAAAAAGATGTACAGAATAATAGAACTAATAGAAACAAAAGAATTATCTCGTATTCTCCTGAATATTGAGACCATATGGTTTTGCAGTTCTTAGCTCCTCATTTCCTTGACAAGACGTTGTATTTGGTGGTGACATTGGTAGATGGCTTGGGTTTTCATATTTCCTATAGTGTGGTTAGGTTGGTTATAAATGTACTGTATGGTCACCATGTTTGTGTTGTATCTTGAACCTATGGTTATTAAAACGAGACCGAAGGGTTTGACCAGTTTGTCCAACGTACTGGATGCCACAGTTGGGAACAGAACTTATGATTAAATATATGAATAATAGTTAACAATATGTTATACGTCTGCAATGACTGTTAAACTAGTCTATAATTTGGTATGGTTTTTAGGTGATATGGTAAATATAAATAGTCAGGAATATTTTGTTCACCACCCTGCACAATCATATTATATATTTAGTGAATAGTGCACGTATGTGCTATAAAACAAGCCATTTTTAGATATTTATGGATAACCAAAGGGTAGTAAGTTGAATTATATTGTGAATCAATTCAATCCCACCACTGCACATTATATGTACCCATGTTCTTTGTTTAATTTTTGCATATCGATTTTTTATTTCATTCTTGAATTTTCTCTAAGTTGTCACTTGGCTGTGTGTTATTGAATGAACGTATCACTCCCAAGTCACACTCTCACTCACCCCCCCCCCCACACACACACACACACAAGCTAACAGAAAGACCTACATTGTGTGTGTGCGCGCAAGTCAAACATGGTTAAATGATTTTTACATTTGTATAATATCATGAAACTATTTTAATATTTAAAAGATTTATTTATAATTGAAATATTTTTGACTTCCGTGTGTGAAGCACACAATGGGAATCTTTGCGATTAATGTGTGTGCGTGTTTGTGTATGTGTTGACTGTTCCACTTATAAAACAGTTTTATTTTGGATGAAATTTGATGCAAAGATGCTCTGGGCTGAGATGTATATATGATTAGGTTTTGGTAAAGATCCATGCATAATAATTACCTAATTTGCATGATAATCAGCTGTCACATGACTGTTCCATTGATATCTAAAGAGCCACTCATTGAATTTTGATGAAACTTGGTACATGGATGCTCTGGACTAATGCACAGATTTGATTTTTGGTTAGCATCTGTTTTATTAATTTACCTAATTTGCATAATGAATAGTAAATTTTCCACTGATATACCGAGTACTAATCATCACATTGCAATGAAACATGGTTACATAGATGTCATAGGACAATGCACAAACCTGATAGCTTTTACATTAATATTCGTGTATATTAATCACCTCATTTGCATAATTAATCAATTATATCATATTTCTATAAATATTGGTACATAGATACTTTAGAATCATGCAGGGACCTGAATATTTTTTAATAATTATCTGTGCATGTTAATCACCTAATTTGTATAATTACACAATTTTAAGCTTTTACATTGATATAGATTGAAACTTGGTACATAGATGCTCTAGTACAATGCACAAACGTGATTAGGTATGGTCGAAAATCTGTGCATATTAATTTACCAATTTCCATAATTAACCAATTTTCAGCTTTCACACTGATATCTCAAGTACTAATTATTTTATTCACATAGAACTTGGTACATAGATGCTCTAGAATATTGCACATACATGATTAGTTTGGGGTGAAAATCTGTTCATATTATCTAATTAGCGCAATATTTCATATTTTTGGTGTTCTAATCACATTTCAATGAAATTTGGTACATAGATTGTCTGTGACATTACGCAAACCTTATTAGTGTCACACTCAAATCTGTGCATGTAAATTACCTGATTTGCATAATTAGTCCATCAGCATCTCAAGTACAAGTAATTTTTAATTAATTTTTAATGTTTCACCAATAAACAGGAGTTCTTTCTAAGCTTTCTTTGATTGTTATTTTATTTGGACTTTTGACTAATTTTATGAACCTATTTTAATAATGTAGGTTTATAAATGCTAATCTTTGGTGGGAAATGGATTAAAAAAAAAGATAAATACATTATGGGGTGTACATTATTTGATGACTTACTTTTCTATTATTCACTATCCATGGGGTGGGGTAACTTCCACTGTGCAGTGTATGGATAGAAAGTTGTTCAAATAATTTGTTTGGCTTTTGAATAACTTCCTATTCTAGTTTCGAATGTTTATGATAATGCGATGATTAGTACATTTCATTTTACTAAAATCACCGCATAACTTTATTATATATGAAGTGTGGTGAAACGGGAGTACCCAGGAATCGAAAGCGCGTTCCTAGTGGAGGCGAATTTCTAGTAAAAATATTGGTAACATAGCACAATATCGAGAAAATCCGACTCGAAGTCAAAGACGAACTCGGGAATGAATCCATTCCTACCGAGACTCAGTTCAAAAAAATTCCATCTATTCATGATATGAAACAAAACAAAAATTTTTACTGGTGGTGCTTAGACAATGTATTCTGGCATATTGACTGGAATTTCTCTGAAAGTTCTCTTTATATATTTGCATAAAACGAGGAATTGAGATGTTCAAAATATAAATTCACCTGAATGAATTTGCGTGAGGTGAAGGGTTGGCACGACAGGGCGCCGTCCGATCTCGATGGAACTTTTCGAATCAGAATACGTAGTCTTTGGCAAACATGCCGTGCAACTACGGTCGTCGCTGAGCTGCACGCTACAAACTCGCTTGTGATGTTGCTCGTTAGCCGTAGATTGGATGAATCTTGATTACCGGTTAAAATGTCGCTCATTTGGCGTTGGTAATCTTTATTTGGAACTGGGTAACGCCGCAACGTCGCCAGCAGAAACTTCCTGGTAGTTTGATATTGATGGTTGCGCCTCCACGACAATCGCTAATGTTGCTGCGGGTCGATCTTCGAAGAACCCTTCAGGGCTTATAAAACTCAGTTTCTAGGTGGTCAACATACATCAAGTTCTCTCAATCGTAGTACTCCATGTGAGGTACACCTAATATGCTAAAAATGTCGCTGAACGATTTTAATCGGATAAAAATAGCAGACGAAAATTTGTTTACAAAATAAAAATGTTCTGGTTGCCAATGAAAATATTTTCTGCTGTTACCATGGTAGGACATAAACGTGAAGCTAACGTCGGTTTATAACTAAAACCGGGCACCGTACACGATGTTCGAAAAAACACATTCAGTCTTTAGAAGTCTCTTTATTTTATTGCTAGGACGTATTCTGCCATCACAATGTAAATGTATTATTTCCAACCGTTTGGCGATAGTATTTTCTAGATTGGAGGCAGCATTTACATTTCATTCAAAGTTGACTTGGGATTACGTTGATAACGTTGATACAGTGCAACAATGTCCGTTCCGGTGATCTCTTACCGGTGTGCAACGTAGACAAAATAAAAGGCATGATCATTTGAACACTGCTATTACATGACACTATTAGATGATAATAAATTTGGCGTGAAGGTATTAAAAAAACAGTTTTTGGTTGTTGTCATGAAAACGGTTGCCAGAATTTGTTTTCAGATTTTACAACTTAACTAGAGTGAAGGTGTGACTTGCCTGCCAAGTTTGAACCAAATCGGCCCAGCCAAAAAAAAAACATCACAGAAGAGTTCTTTCCTGGTGAACGGTTCCCCTAACTTTGGGGTCAAATGTCTCATTGGTAAAAAAAAAATATTAAAAATTCATATAGTAACTTTGAGCCCACACTCAAGCTGAGTAGAATGAACTATGTCTGACGTGTTGTATCCTAAATTTGTAGGAGCAGATACATTTATTTTTTTCAGATTTTTCCTAACAACTAGGGTGAAAGTGTGACCTACCTGCCAAGTTTGAGCGAAATCGACCAAGACAAAAAAATCACAGAAGATTTAATACGTGAAAACACTGGAAATCACACACACACACACACACACACACACACACACACACACAAGTTATTTTAAGGGAAATCCTAGTGGAGCGGATCGCCAATACCATGTTCGTTTGCATATTAACCGTGTAAATACAGAAAACATTATTGCATGGGTGATATGCAAATTAGTTTTAGTCAAAATAACTTTTTTTTCTATTTATATTTATTCCATCAATGCAGAAACTAAATAGTGTTTACATAACTTTCAAAGGTTATATCAAGACCATATTTATATTACTGATGCAAACAAAAACTTATATTGTCAGTTGTTGTCTCCTGTGTCCATCACTAAAACTACACAACAATTTAAGTTACAATTACAAAAATACAATAAGTTTAAAAGACTACTATTACATTATTAATTGAGAGAGGATACCAGTTCAACTAGTCTTCCCCATTTTAGTTTGGCTTTATGCTTATTAATTTCGTGTTCAAGGTTAATTCTAAACTGGAGTTCTGATTTAAATAATGAAAAACAATTGAAAAGTTTGAATGTGCCTATAGACTTGCTTTGGCAAACATACCATGTTTTAAAGACGGAGAACAATTGCAATTACAATAATATGATTGACACATGTGTCTGTGTTTGATACACCAGCAACAAGATCATCAAATGTTGAAGAAACCGCAAAGTTAGTATTGCTATTAATAAACTCATTCACACGTGCCCAATAATTGCATAGACGTGTACACTCCCAAAACATGTGGTATTACGTTTCTGTGTAATTACAGATACGACATAGTTTGCAGTCTGTCTTCTGTCATATATACAGTTTACCATTGTTTGGTAAAATACAATGCATGAATAATCTGTGCTCTTGGGTAATTTTGATTGTCCGTTCAACTCGTACATTGTCCAAGCAAACATTTAGCTTGTATTTTGTTCCCACATTTCGTTTACTTAAGGTACAATAAACTTTTTTTAACTAGTATCTTGTAATACTGTTTTACCGTTATTTTTTTAATTGTATTGTAATTTTCTAATAAATGAACAGTTTGTTGTTGCTGGTCATCAGTTGGATGATATAACTGTTTTTTTTTGGTTTAATTAGCATTTTCCATTTCAGTGGAATAGAGTTATAAAAAATAAAAACTTCTGTTATATAGATAAAACCAGACTTCAGCCAGTGACGGAAGAAAGGTGTTTTCCCATTACATACAATATTTTGATTACACCAAATAATTTGATTAAGGGCAATTTGCGCGTCTGATACATTTGTAATAGTGCTTGCTCCACATTCATGCCAAGACGAAATCACATTTTTGTAGAAAAGAAGTAACAAATTTAAGCAACCACAAACACCTGGTTTTGAGAAATTCATATGAAAATTGTTTTAGCAATACTATCCCTATATAAAGGGATTAGTTTCCATGACGGTACATTCACATTGACAGGCTCATCTGTTAAACGATTCACCCAGAATGCTTTTAGGGCCTTGCATTGTGAAAAAACATCCAATGCACTCAAGCCCCCTGGTTGTATTCACCAATAATAGCACCACGCTTAATGTGATCGATTTTGGAACCCCAGATAAACTTAGCAAACATTCTATCAAGGTTAATAAGGAACTCGTTAGGAATTGTGCATACATTCATCACATATGTACGTTTAGCAGCAGCCATGGTTTTAATAATCACCACCTTCCCATAGATAGTTAAATTTCTAGTATTCCATAAATTAAGGACATATTCAATTGATTTTAAGTTTCCTTACAAATCAAGTGTGGTTATATCCGATTCACTTGTGCTAAAGTACACACCTTTTAATTGGTTTTAACACCGTAACGATTTAATTGGTTCAATCGGCCAACTAATATTGGCAGTTTTTTTCCGACGTTTTTTCCACTTTTTTCCGACCTTCTGTTTTTCTCTTATTTAGTTTAGGACCGGCAACATTACTAAAATTAACTACAATGTCAATGGCCTTAGTAATTGAGTCTTCGTTTGTAACGAAAAGTGTATCATCTGCAACTTGGCAAATGCGGATTTCCCTATTAAATACATTGTCAAGTTTTACGGTGATTCCCGAAAGCGCTGTTGACGCTCTAATTTTGCAAGCTAGAATTTCCACAACAAGTAAAAATAACAAAGCCGATAGAGGGCAGCCTTGTCTGATACCACGTGTTAGGTGTAGTTTCGCTGACAACCAAGCCTTATTGATAATACGTGCTTTACAATCTGAATAAATTGTTTTAACCCAAGAAACGAATTTATTACCAAAATAAAAAAATCCATTCCACAGAATCGAACGCTTTGCAAAAGTCTAGAAACAAAATTGCCCCGGGAATGTTTTCCATATCAGTATAAGCGATTATATCGTATATTAATCTGACATTTTTGCCAAAAAATCTATTTTTAATATACGCAGTTTGATCTGTATTGATGATACGTCCGAGAATTGGCTGTAAATGTCTAGCCATAACAGATGCAAGTATCTTATAGTCTGTATTTAGCAAACTAATTGGACGCCAATTATCTAGACTACTGTGCTCTCCCTTTTTATACATCAACCTTAAAATTGCACAGTTTTGTGATTCGTATAATTTTCCGGTTTTTAGACCTTCATTAATTTGAGTTAAATACAATTTGCCCAATAACATCCCAGAATTCCGAACAAAATTCAGCCGGTAACCCGTCAAAGCCTGGAGTTCTATTCTTCCCCATAGCAAGTACGGACATTTTGCATTCCTCTATGGAAATTGGTTTATCCAATATAATTCTATCATCATCAGTTAGTGCAGACTCTAGTTTAACTTCTGTCAAATAGGAATCAACCTCTCACCTTTGACATAGGAATCTACGCGCGAGCGAATTCTGGCACCATCTGCTATGTGATAATAAATTATTTCAATGTCGTTCTTAACTTTCTCATACTTATTCAATATATCAGTATCGAGAGTGTTATTAATTTTCTTTTCTAGTGATTCTAATTGTTTTTCCAAACTTGATAATTTAGCTTTTAATTTAGCTAATTGTTCTTTAGAATATCCCACTGTAAATTCGCGAATTTGTATTTTGCAATATTAAAGTGTTAACTGACTTTGCAGATTGGCATTAATGCATTTCGCTATACAGTTTTGTAAGACATTGCAAGCCTTTTCCTTATAATCATTATCGCTCAATAAGCTAATATTGAATCGCCAGACTCCAGGTCATCTTTTCTCCTGGTTTTGCTGAATTGTAAGAATAACTGCTCTATGGTCTGTCATTATGGCAGGTTTGATCACATAGTGTTGGACTATATCACACGTATCTTTTAAGGTAAAGAAGCAATCTAGATGTGTCAGAATGAGGGGATTTTATGTCGATAGGTAAATTCTGTTGAGAGTGGGTTAATTTTCCTCCATATATCGATAATCTTAAGGGAACATTGATCTTATTGCATTATACAGTTGAAATCGCCCCCTATAACTAACTCATAAATATCCTTCTGGCGTAACCAGTCAGTCAAATTTGCGAAGAAAGAATTTCTATTCTTGCATGCATTTGGGGCATTTACAGATACAAAGGTATATTTGTTTTTACCTATTTCACAATTTAACAGTAAACGTCTGCCAACTGAGTCAGCTTTACATTTAATTACATTAACATCTGTCCCGGTGGAAAGCAAAATAGAAACCCTACAGCTGTGGGTCGTGTCAAAAGCATGAAAAGCCTGTCCACCCCATTTCAATTCAGTTGTTTCGTTAGCATGCGTTTCCTGTAACAGGACGACGTCAGCTTTTTTTGTTTTTCCAACCAATTAAAGATAACATGCATTTTGTTTATATCTCCGAGTCCATGGACATTAAGAGTTATAATCTTTAAACTGTCGTCGATTTAATTAGTAATGTGAGAAATTAATGCAGAAAGTTTATTCTTAAAGATAAAAAGAAAAAAAACTAGTGACTGCCTAAAATTTTCACTCTTCATTTCACTCGGCAAATATATTCATGTACCCAAGGGAAAAATATCGTACTTCTAAATATTGTTTATTTCTGCTATGTTTCGCAAAAAGCTACTCTTTAACGGACTACTTTGTTTGCTCTTAGACCCCATTTGCATATGGGGTGTGGAAATACCGATTTTGATATCAGGGACGAATCAAAATAAACTGCAGTACATATGCAATAATGTGGAATACTTTTCCGCTAAAATCAATTCCAGTGAAAATGTCATTGTCTCTAAAATTGAAAATTGGATTCACACGTAATGCTTCAAAACTTTTCAGTGAAATTCTATGTGACTTCATGAGAGATGGAAATGAACAAATTGTATGACACCCGACCCTACCACTCCATACACAATGTAATCTACACTCCCAAAACATCTTTTCACCAGTGTATTCTGTTTGACTTCAGGAGAAATTGAAATAAACAAATTATATGACAACGAAATTAATTATAATTTCAGCCTCTAGTTCAGCACTGATTAAATAAACTACCTCATCTTTATGCCGACTTGAAGTAATTCATTGCCTACATCAGTGACTTCCAAACCTATGTTTCAATCCCGGGATTTTCACTGGCTATTAATTGCATGGGAGTGTCAGTCTTTTATTTTCCATTGTAATGTCAATTTCTCGCGATTACTCGGAACATGAAGCTGTAACCACAGACCGTCTAGATGTCTGTAACTAAATCCTGGTATAAGCACTGGTTAGGCAGGCTTGAACTATGTATTTGAAGCCAGCTGAGAGGTTTATCCAATCCTATTGATTTCTCATTGGTTGGACACTATTTGTTGCAAATGCAACAAAAATCAATATAAAAATATTACCCACACATCATACAGGTTACTTGTCAAATGTATTATTTGTTTCACATTTACACTGATTTCATTTTGATTGTCCATTTCAAAATTGGTACAACAGCTGTTGACAATACCAGTGCATGTGAGCCTGTAATTGAAACTAATATAGAAACACACATTTTGCTACTTCAGACTACTTTAGGTTAATAACAAAAGTTAATTCTGTGTCTCCAAGAGTGATACCAACAAATACTAACTTACATTTAATTGAGGAATTATGAAAAACAAAAACAAATCGTTCAAATTCGTCATAATTGCTTGTATTAATTTTTAGGGAAAGAATGCTGGTCACTGTTAATTATTTGGTTGTAAAGTGTTGATATCAGCTCAATGTTTTTGTTCTTCGCAATTTGTACACCTTTTTCCTTACACACATGCGTACACCTTATTGTGAATTTATACCTCAAATTCGGACATTGAAATGCGAATGACACAATAGTTTGATTTAATATATAAATTTAATATAGTTGCAATATTTTACCAATTATACATTTTGGTATTTAATGGATATATTCGAACTTGAATATATGTGATTTACTAGACAGATTGATTTACCCCAATGTCCATTTTGATATGTAAATATAATATACGTCATTAGCAACATTCGACATTAAAATACTTTCATGACATTGTTTCATTGTTTATACCCGTCATGACATGAAAGTATGGTCTTCAATATTTAGAATGCTTGTACATAATTAAAGACCGGTCATTTTGAGTTGCGATAACATTGTACCTGTACAAAACACATTTATGACATCTGCAAATTGACAATGATATTAACATGACTAAAGACGTACACTTTTATTTTAGAATCTGACTAATTATGATCAACGTGGCAATTGATTATACGTGGACAGCGGCGTTCACAGCTGTGTTCGCCATTGTATTTGGTGTATACTGGTTTTCGAGGTCTAAGAAGCAATACAACTTGCCACCGGGACCAAAAGGATGGCCATTTGTAGGAATGCTATACAATTTGGGCGATACACCACATATACAGTTCATGGAAATGGCGAAGAAGTTTGGAAATGTATTTTCAATGAAAGTCGGTACCCAACGCGTAATAGTGTTAAATGGCTATAAAGCTGTGACTGAAGCATTGGTGGATAACAACTCCATATTTTCTGAAAGACCAGATGCATGGACGCTCAAAAGAGTGAAGAATGGTGATGGTAAGACACATATAGTGCATTTATTTTGTATTACTTCATCATATTTTAATTGTTATTATATTTCAGCACTAATATTTTTAGGGACATTGGTGATTTAACTTGAACCTGTGAATGAAAGAAAGTAGAGGGATCATTCTACATTGTTCAAGAAAAATTTAATTATAAATAAATATTAAATTTCTGAATGTGAAGACATAAAATAAGTACTATATATTACAATATATTTACTACTGAAATTGATTAATTATGGCCATTCACAACATAGGGCAAACAAATTATCACTGGGCAATGGGGAGTGTATGTTACATTGTACCGACTATTGGTGTGTGAAATTAAAGGGAAAGGTCACCCACAAATTTTGAGCTGGTTTATAAAATACATGTACTTATTTTGGTAAATTTCACTTTGCAAAAACATTTTCAAGACATGCCCCGTCACAACTTTACAACTTATCTGCTGGGTTTAAATGGCGTTGTAAATCGAATCATCACATTTCTATTATAACAGAAGTTTTCTAATTGATTTGAGTGTTTTCCAATTTTCTGATTTATTGGATATACACAATTTATGGATTCTGATTCACCTGAAAGTGACATATATAGTCGATGAAAGCTATGAACCAGAGGTTATGATCAGCTCATCGAACTCGGCCTTTAAAACTGACATTTTGGTAGTAGATTAAATGCAGAAGTGCAATAGCACATAATGGAAATAAAATTCCCATTTATGGCTGTTGTCTCATTAAGTCATTACATGGGGGAAAAAGGGGTGTAATAATAAATAATCACGAAAATACTTAAAGTATGCACTCTGGCATTACGGGGATGCATATGTCCAATATATATATTTAACATAGTTTAATTAAAGACCAATTCCCTGGGCTGGTCTGTTTATCAATGAGCCATATAGAACCACCATGATCTCGAAAGCTTATGAAGAAACCTGCATTGGTACATTGAGTGTTTTTAAAGAACCTTTCTGAATGTTGTTAGTGGTTTAATAAGCCTGTCTGTGTTTTGAAAATGTTCTCTACTATTCCCTTTGATGATTAAGACAGGTTGAGCAATGTGACTGTGACATTTTCTTAGACAACAATGCTCGAACTGTTCAAACATGCTTTTCAACCCATAAATATGAGACCAAAAGAATGTTTGTATTTTGTCTATGAAGTTTGTCAAAATCACTTTTTCTGTATTTGTGTGAAAGCATTTGTTGGAAAGGACTGTTGATGCAGGACACGCAACTTGTTCCATTGATTACTAAGTATTCCTTTTTAGCCTTAGTTCACATCTGCTTTATGTATCTAGAAAAATGATCTTCTCTAATTCATTGGTTCACCTGTTGAGCTTATGCTAACTCCTGGTCTGTCGTATCTGGCAAAGCATCAAACTAAACTACAGATGTGGAATCCAGCTCATGAAAAGGTTGCTCATGATGGTTATTTCGTGTAAAACTGCACCTAAAATTGTGACGTTGTTTATATCATGACAGTAGTGGCATTGACAACAGTTCCACATCATCAGCATTGCTCTTGTCTTGCCTATATTTGGGGTTCAGATCGATAATTAGGGAGACCACTACTGCTCTATGGTATCAGTCTGAATTATGAAAGGTTGTGAGAAATCAGGGTAGTTACTATTTTTGGACTGGTAAGGTTCAGAAATTCCACATATAGTAGACAAGTGGTAAATCACCTGAACACCTTGATGAAAACCGGTAAACCCAATTCACTTCAGCAGCTACATACAATTTCTAGATGGTAGTCAATTTCTCAATATATCCAATTTGTTGGTGTGTGTGCTAAATACACTTTTGTAGTTTCAACTTTGGCCCATTCTGACAGTCTGCCAAACACTATCTTCTGTCTGGCGAGATGTTCTTCAAATGTGCTGAAAAAATCATATTATTGAGATAAATATTTTACATGACTGTTAGTATATTGTGCTTGAGCCAGAAACGTTTCCACAAACACAACAGCCACCAGTCAGTAGATCTGCCATGAAAACTCGCATCAACATTGATGTACTTTTTTTGCGTAGATGTATTTGCTTCATTTGTATTATATTTGTAAACCTGCTTTTGAGTCACAAAGTTTTGCGAATTAACCTAGTCGACAATATTAACAGAGGTTGGGGCAACAGGCCCATAAACAGTGAACAAAACAAACTGGCATAAAACACGATTTAACATTACGCTCAAATCTATAATAGTTTCATTTCTCATTAATCAGACCCATAAATAATTGAGACAGTGTTTGTGAGGTATTTTGTATTCATTCTATATTATTTTTAAATTATGAACTTAATACATTACCTTACAATAATTTTGCATTTCACATACGTTTTACTGATATTTTAGTACATTCCTCACGTTAAAACATAACTACATATTAAGTATTTTATAATCCCACATTGCTACACTTAACGCAGTAGCTAGGCTGTGACGTCATTTCCTTTTCATAGTAAATATCTGGTGAAAGTTGCTAAAAATGTAAATTTATCTTTATTCAATAAAATATTTGGCAGCACAAAATTCATAGCTGACCTTTACCGAATCTTATCATCAAGTAGTGCACTTGACAAAACCTACAGATGCAAGTATTTATAATCGTATTAAAGCGGGGGAGTCGTCATCTGCGCATGCGTCAGGTGGCCATAGCGTGTCATTGTTCACAAACAAGCGTCTACCCACGAGCCTTTGCGTTTTTAGCGTGTGATATCGTCGCTTGGGACTCAATTCCCGCGCGTGCGCAGTTAACGACCGTCCCGCTTTAAGGCGCACAAATATTAAAGCACGTGAATTTAGATGAATGAAGTCTTTATGTAGACTCTGATAATATATTATTGCCCGATGAAGGTTGGTATTAAGTGTTCATCCAATTGTGTTCGGCATTATATATATGTACTGCAAACAAATCAGCCATCAAGCCGTTTGTTTGTCTGTCTGCTTGTTGTTTTAGAACAACGGAAGCTAACACAAATTTGTTTTAGAACGGTTATTTTGCAAGTTAGTAAAATGTTTAATGACTGTTATGCAAATAAGTCGAAACTCTTGATGTAGTTAAATACTTAACTCCTTGATGTCAGTGTAAAATACGTAAAATTAAGATCGCCATATATCACAATGGTGGTGTATTATAGTGTATTTGTTGTTGTTTTTTTGTCAGGTGACAGTCCGGACATTTAATATCATTGTTATGTGCAGAGTGCTAATATATAATTATTGCATTTTGCCACGACAAATTTATTTGATGTTTGAGACTACGTGATAGTGACATTAGGACAATTTAATCTGCTATTGTTACGATGGTTATTATTAGAAACACATTGACTGGTATTTTCATATTATCTCATTCCCATGATATGCAAAGTTAAAGCCGGTAGTCGTCGCGCTGCGCATGTGCGAGATATATGGGTCTCATATAAACAAAGATGGCGACTTTCACTGTTTCGCAGATCAACGAGTACAAACTGAGACGTTTCCAAGCTTTAATTAGGTAATTTTCATGTTATTCGAAGATATCAAGGAGTCATCGGCGGTAATCAGTGCAAGTCGCGCCCAGGTCAAACCTCATACTTGTGACTTCCATT